GTCTGGAGCAGGGCTCTCGGTTCAAGGGTAAACACCCGGAATGTCAGGTACATTCGGGGTCTTTCCCGCTGAAATCCTGATTTTGAGGGTTTCAGACTCACAAACCTCCTGACTGATTCTTGGTGTTTCCAAGGAACTCCCTGAGCAATCCGGATTGCGCGAAAATTTATCCTGGCCATCCGACTGGCACGGAAACTACCCGTGCTGGAATTGCAACCCTACCCTTTCCCCCCTCCCCCCCCCCAATTCCTTCGCAACCCTGACCAATTTTCCACGCAGTCTGAAGGTGCGATCCGTGGATCTTTCACAATTCCAGAAGTGCAAGGCTGTCAGACTTATCACAACCCCTTAATTCCTTAGCCAGGTTGCGCACTGTCCCTCCAAGTTGTATGCATTTCTATTGCGATTAAGGAAAGAGTCGAACTTGGTGTGGTGGTGAGGGACAGCAGCAGCAACAAGCGTGTGATCTGTATTCTTCTACATCGTTTCTTCCATCGATGTCCTTCCTGCTTGTACTCGAAGTGCCCACAGGTTCCGCTGATATGTAGGGATTCCAAAAAAACACTCTGATTTTCAGATTGAAGGTCAAAGTAATCCTGAAATAAAGAGAGATTTCCTAGGGAGTGCTGAATTTTCAGGATCTTTAGTGACGCGAATCCTGAGACCGCTGGGTTTTGAAAAACGGAAAATTAGCCCTGGTCTGGAGTGGGGCAGTAGTGGGGGGAAACGAGGAGGAGTGAGGAGCACGGTGTAGCCGGCCCTCGACACAAGGCGTGCAAGAAGGCGCAGGCGAGGGAGGGAGGGCAGGGAGCGACACAGGGAGACCTCAGACAAGAACGTGCTGGGACATGTGACGGAGACGTGGTAGAGTGGGTGGTGCCACGGAAGCGACAGGTCCGTGAGCGACTGACACGAGCAAGCCGCAGCGACCTGGATAGACGCAGCCACCTGGGGGGCCTCCCCCACCAGGGGGGACGCGGTTTCCATCATGAACAAGCCATACACAAGGTCCTGGGGGAACGTTGTGAGGGGGGCACCAGAGGCGGCCTCGGTACAGACTGCAGCCCACTCGTGTCCTAGGAACGTAGAGAGCTCAAGGGAACCGCCAGACAAGGAAGTGTGATGGAGCTATATGCAACTACTGGACGGGAGGAAGGGTCAGCAAGGGAGACAGCTGCTGGGGCGGCAAGCGGCGTGAGAGTGGTGTGGTTGCGAAAGAAGCAGTCAGACGCATTAGAGTCCAGCGTGAAGGAGAGCGCAGCGGTCACGTCAGTCGGCGATGGCACTAGCATGGAGCCAAGGCTAAACAAGGCAGGAGATCCTATGCATGATGCAGTAGGGGAGCGTAGACTACACATAGCAGGCACACCTAGGCTAGGCAACATAGGGTAATAAGGCCCAGTCACATAAGAGTCAACAGGATACATGGCATACATAGCAGAACGAATCTGATCCATGTCTAACTCAAAGACCGGCACACGACAACGTACCAGGCTAGGCAAATCCGGGAGGGACAGCGTGGGCCCGAAGCGGAGTCGGAAGGTATCATCGAGGCGGTAGTAGCAGCGGGTAGCGGTGTGACCGGGACGGTCACACACGGTGCCATAAAGGGGACCAGTCGGAAGCTGGTACTGGCAACTCACAGGGATGGAGCCGCCACCCGACGTCAAGCTGCGAGGGCCGCCTCCGCGGCCACCACCACCAAAGCCTCCGGGCCACCGTGGCGGTGGGGCCCCCCACTGCTGCTGCTGCTTCTGGGGCTGCTGCTCTGGGGCGTCAGCTCCCACCCCCTCAGCATCTCCTGCGCTAGCACCATCTCCACCACCTTTGTGACCCACGCCACCCCCGCCACCCCTTCCTCGCCCATGCCCCCCGCTGGGGCAACAGCCCTTACCCTGACGAGGCTGCGCTGAGGCCGCTGCGGCGGTCTCAGAGACAGCAGTGGAAACGTCAGAGTAAGTGCACTGGGAGAGAGCACAGCCTTGGAAGATAGGGACCGCCGGAGTATCACTAGATTGGGCGATAATGCGCTTGCGGGTCTCTATAACCGACAGGGTGGCGACGAAGTCGCTAAGGGTGAGGTCAGCGGGGTGGAGGCTAAGGAAGGTGTTGCGGTCAGTGGCTAGGTAGTCAGGGAAGCGCGTGGCTAGGAAATAAAGCGTAGCGTCAAGGGGGGGAGGAATTACAGTGAGTTGAGCCTCAGTGCTAGCAACGCGGTTGCTAATCTCAAGCACACGTAGGTGAGTGGCAAGATCAGCGGCAGTGGGAAAGGACGTGAGATCAGGAAAGAGCAGGGCCAAGAGGAGGCGACCAGCAGAGGCGGAGGAGGGAGTGGAATTGTGAGCAATGACAGCGACTAGGTACTCCTTGGCCGTCTCTAGGGCCTAAAAGCAGGGACGCTCGGACAGTGGGAGAGCGTGACTGATAGCTAGCTGCGTAGTGGCGTCACACGAATCCCAGACAGAGCGGGCGAGCTCAGCAGCTGTGAAAACATCACGCTCAGCAGACGTCGCGTCAGCAAGGGCAGCAGGCGCGGGGGGGAGGGCAGCTTACCGTCGACACAGACGGCTAGAGACTGGCCATCCTAGCGCTGACCCTTCAACTGGTGGCGCAAGTCGGCGAGCCACGCCTCGAAATCTACCGCACGACCCTCTACGTCCAGGCGGAGAACGTCGTCAGCCATCACGCACAGCTGCAGCAGCTGTAGAACTCAGGAGGAGGTGGAGAAGTAAGCAAGCGGGTAAGGTAGAGTGCAGTAAAGAGCGGTGGAGAGCGCTGGAGTACGGTGGAGTGTAATGGAGTGCGGTGAAGACGCGGGAGAGCAGACGGCCGGCGAGGGCGCCAGCGCTGAGGAGACACCAGGGCCGGCAGCGAGCTGGGGCCGGTAGCGAGCAGGGGTCCGGCGCAGCTGGCAGGGGCCGGCGTGGCGAGCTGGGGCCGACGCAGCTAGCTGGGGATGACGCGGCGAGCTGGAGCCGACACGGCGAGTAAGGGTCGGCGCGGCGAGCTGGGGCCGACGCGGCTAGCTGGAGCCGACACGGTGAGGTGCGACGGCGCAGCGAGCAGTGATCGACGCGGTGAGCTGGGGCCAGTGCGGCGAGCCGGGGCCTGCGTGGCTAGCTAGGGCCACGACTACACTTACAACGTATGTACTTATTGATAGAAATCAACGACTGTAGTGTCTCAGCAACCACGTACGCGGTGAGCGAGAATCTTGGCCGGCTCGGTAGTTGGCTCGGGTACTGGGTTGACCGTAGGATTGATGTGTTGACGGTCAAGATTAGTGGCATTCGGGACGAACGATCGCAGGAGACTGGCGTGGAACGAATCATGGATTCGCCAGTCAGCAGGCAGTTGCAGCTGGGCGGTGACTGGTGTCACCATTCGGATAATGCGGAATGGCCCGCAAAATCTTAGTCGTAATTGATCTGGGTGAGGAATCCCCAAATTTCGGGTGTCGAGTAAGACCAATTGCCCTGGGGAAAACTTCGCTGCTTAGCCATCTGGGTTGGCTTTTAGGATGGCATCGGCGACTTTTTGGTGAGACTGTTAGATATTTTTTACGAACTGCTGAGATCTTGGTGCCAGGTTTTCTATCGGTGGCGATAGAGGGGTTACCGGATCTATCCCATAATGTAGGAAGAACAGTGACTAAGTGGTCGTGGCTGATGGAGCGTTGTTGTAAGCAAAATCGATCAAAAGAAGGGCGTTCTCCCACAGGGTCGGGACTGTGCATGTCGTGCGAATCAGCTGCTCCATCGTTCGGTCTGTCCGTCGGATTGCGGGCGGCATGCCGTGGACAGATGCAGACGTGTGCCATACTGTTGCCAGGTTTTTGTCTAGAAGTTGGACGTGAAGTGTGGATCGCGATCGCTGATGATTGCAAAAGGAATGCTATGTAGCCGCACGATGTTCGTAAGGAAAAGTTTCACTGTCTGCTCAGTTGTAATTGTCGTTTTGCAGGCGGCGAAGTGGGCCATTTTTTTTTTCAATCGGTTAACGACGACAAGAATGGCGTCGTTACCGTTTTGACCGGCTGGCAAGCCAGTGACGACATCCATCGTCACCTTTTGCCAGGGTCGGCTCGGTGGCTCGAGTGGCTGCAGCAATACAGTAGGTCGAAGCCGAGAGGAATTCGTGCGTTGACACGTGGCACACGAGGTCAAGCCAGGAATAATGTGGGCTTAGTAATTTGGTGGTTTTGTCGATGCCGTAGTGATCCGAGAAATTTGAGTCATGTGCCTCTTGGATCAGTAATTCCCATAGGGTGCGATAGGCGAGAACCCAAATCCGATTGGTACCGAATTTTAGATAATAGGTCCCTTGCCTAGCTACCAGTTGGGGATAATTGTTAGTGGCGAAGAATGGATCAGTGTTGTATCCATGGGTGAATAGGCCAACTAGTAGTGGATTAGTTTGGGTAATTAGGATGATGGCGGTATGGACTGAGGGGCGTATCAGTGCGTCAGCGATGTTGCTAACCCCTCATTTGTAGGTAACTCTGTAATGGAAAATTGACTCGAGGTAGTCAAGCCAGCGGATCCGTCGGGGATTCAGTGTCGGTTGGGCCCGGATGAACTGTAGCGACTTGTGGTCTGTACGGACTGTCACGTCAGCGCAAGTTAGGTAGCAGCACCAAACCTTGAAAGCGTGATCAATGGCGAGTAGCTTCTTGTCGTGGACAGAATAATTTCGCTCGGCCTGGTTCACCTTCTGTGACTCGTAGGCGATGGGTTGTAGGCCTTCGCCGAAGTCTTGTAACAGTACTGCACCAACGGCCAGATCGCTAGCGTTGGTGATGAGCCCGAACGGACAGTGAGGATCCGCAATCCGAAGAACCGGAGGTGTAGTCATGAAAATTTTGAGCTTTTCGAACGCAGCCTGGTATTCTCCCCCCCACTAAAAAAAAATGCCCTTCTTTTGGAGATCTGCGGCTTCTAGTCCTGGATCGCTGCAATCTTCTTTGGGTCAATTTTAACGTCGTTGATGGAGATCACGTGGCCCAAAAACTCTAGTTCGTGTTTTAAAAACTCGCACTTAGACCTTTGGTGATGAGTCGATTCTGCTGCAGGAGAGAGAAAACGGTTTCCAAATCCTTCAAATGCTGCTCCCGGGTAGTGTTGTAGACCAGGATGTCGTCGAGATACACGATGGCACACTTATCCATCAGAGGCCGGAAAATTTCGTTCATGGTCAACTGGAATGTCGAAGGCGCGTTTGATAAGCCGAATGGAATAACCGTGTATTTGTAACATCCGTAATGGGTCCGAAATGCCATCTTGTAGCAGTCAGCTTCGTCCACGCGAATCTGTGGTAACCGCCTTTCAAATCAATTTTGGAGAAGAACCGGGCCCCACGAAGTTGGTCGATGAGTTCGTCGGCACGCAGAATTGGGTAGCGAGACTTGATGGTAACCCGATTCAAAGCGCGGTAGTTAGTACACATTCATAATCTGCCATCTTTCATCGGGGTGAACAGAATCGGAGCATCGAACGGAGATGTGCTGGGACGGACGAATCCTTTCTCGAGCAGGTAGTCCAGCTGGCATCAAAGTTCAACCAACTCCGGCTGAGCCAGCCGCCACTCGGTCCAAACAGTTGGTTGCGCGCCAGGCTCGAGCTTGATTCTGTGGTCATGCGGGCGCTAAGGTGGCACTCCAGCAGGGAGATCATCCGGAAAAATATCAGAGTGCTTCCGAATAATGGATGCCAAATTACCTGGGACAGCTGCGCAAAGTTTCTCGATGTCGGTGAGAGTTTCGACAGCTGTGGATGCGATCCATTGGATGGCATACAGCTGCGCTCTGCGAATCATCACCCTCTTAATAGTCACAGCACTGACTGTCGACATGGCTGAGTCTTGACTGCTCCACCTGGGAAGTCGTCGCCACTCGCCACTCCACTTGATCTGACAATCGCCCGTTCGCTAATCGATGCTCGGGTTGTACTCGCATAGCCAATCGCGCCCCAGCAGCATGTCGCACCCATCCAGGGTCGTCGCCAGCATCTTCGTCGTGAAGCTGAAATTTTCGCCACAGATAACTCGCACGTGAGGCACGCGCTCCCGAATCGCCGAAGGGGTGTTGTCAACCAACCTTGTGCCGATTTCGGGAATGCAACGCAGCTGCAATCGAAGTTTATTCGCTTTCGTCATATCCATCAAACTATGGCTCGCCTCACCATCAACAAATATTTTGATTCGGGTGTCGCCAACTCTCCCTTCAATCAGCACAGGGTAATCAACCGGTTCACCCCCCTTATTCAGCCAGGAATGGTCGATAGCCCAAATTGGCAGTATAACCTGGTGGGGGTGGTGGCGTTTGGACGACGCAGTCAAGTCAGTAGGCAGCCCATCAGCTACTGACTGTTTCCATTTCTCGACTGCCTCCCGTGGATAGATAAGTTCTTCTTCAGGTCCAGGCAGTCCTTCACCATGTGGCCCGGCTGGTTGCAGTTGAAACAGCGTCCGTGAAAACTCCGGGATGCAAACACATCCATGCCGTTGATTGATGTGTGTTGGGGCTGGCCTCGAAAACGGTTTCCCTACCGAAAACCCACCCTTGCTAGTCCACGTCTTGCGTTCAGCGCATCTGCGATTCGGACAATTTCGTTGAAGGTCGTTAGGGCTCGCAGGACGATCTCTTGCTGAATTTCAGGCTTGAGAACATCCACGTAGCGATCGGTTTTTTCGACGTCGCTGAGGCCGCCAATTTGATCGCAGGGCAACATGAACGAAGCTGTGTACTCTTTGACAGATCCCGACTAATGCCACATCCAAAGCCTTGTACGCATTTTCCTGCATGGATATGCGCTCGAAGCGGCTCTTCAATGCTTCGCCCCACGCTTTCCACGTGCGGAGCGTGGCCAACCCAAAGATTGGTTCTGCTGGTGCCGTTGATGAACCTTGCTCCCCATCTACTGCTTGTTGACTCCCTGCGAGGGCTCCTCCCTCATTCAGATGCATGCGCCACCAGTCGAGTGCCAGTCCCCTCAGCAGCGACACAACCAAGTTGACACATAAAGCATTGTCATTAATACTTCCTGCTGTAAAGAAGATTTCCATGGCAAACAACCAACTGTTCCCTGTAGTTGATTTGTTGGTCGACTTGAAGGGCGACGGATTGGGTGGTTTGATTTTAATGGCCGCCCGCTGTCACAGGATCGAATGTGTCGAGGAAAGGTTGCACTATCGATCAGTACAAGGCGCTTTTATACTTCCAAAGTACATCAGGTAACCAGGTTTATCTTATCCCAAGGGAATAGACCCTTCTAGAAAATAGAATCACCCTGCGTATAGCCACACGAGGCTATTGGCTTTAAGGGATTACGGCATGATTACGCCAGATATAACGTACCAGTACATCCCGAGCCTGTTCGGTGATATAATGATAATAACAGGATCAACCAAAGGTTGATGGAAAAGGAGAAATAGGAATCCAAATGGAATGAGATAAAAAGAGGAATGAAATGGAAAGGAAATAGGGAAAGGAACAAGTGGTGTAATGGGGTCGTACTCTTACACTTCCCCCCCTCAAAGCTGGGTGGTAGAAGTAACACCCTGCTTGACAAGGTAGTCATGCAGAGGACGACGGGCGCTACCCATGTCAGACTTAGGTACCCAGCTCTCCTCAGAAGGATCATAACCCTTCCAACGAATGAGAAGCTCCACGGTGCCATTCCGATGATGGCGGTGTGCAAGCACGGACTGGACCTTGTACTCGGGTTCATTTTGGACCAGGACGGGTGGCGGCGGCGGCGGTTGGCGTCCGACGAAGATCGTGTTCTGATCCCGATAGGGCTTCAAATGTTGGACATGGAAGGCACTGTGAATCTTCCAGGCAGCTGGCAGGCGTAAACGGAAGGTAACAGGGGTGAGCTGTGCTTCAACGAAGAAAGGCCCGCAGAAACGAGGTCGCAGTTTGGATTGGAGATGGCTGATGTCAAGATTACGTGTGTCAAGGAGCACCTGGTCTCCCACGGTAACGGTGTGGTCGTTGCGATGGCGATCGGCCTGGCGCTTCTGTTGCTGTTGAATGTCGATGAGGCGCTTGTGGGTCCGATCCCAAAGCTGATGCATGGTTGTGATGAAATCATGTGCAGGTTGAACAACAGCGGATGTTGTCGGTTTCTGTGGTGTGAGTGGGTGGCGTCCGTAGCAGAGGAAGAACGGCGTCTGTCCAGTAGCGGCATGTGTAGCGTTGTTGTAAGCAAACTCTAGAACGGGCAGGTGCAGGTCCCATTTGGAGATCTCGTCCTTGCAGGCTGCTCGGAGGAGTTGCTCGACAATCTGGTTGAGGCGCTCGGTCTATCCGTCTATCTGCGGATGGTAAGCTGATGACATGGCGAGTTTGGTCCCGAGCAGAGACATCAGTTCTTTCCAAAACTTGATGGTGAACTTAGGGTCTCGGTCGGAGATGAGTGTGGTTGGAATTCCATGTTGTGAGATGATGTAGCAAACAAGGAGTTGTGCCGTCTCCTCGGTGCTGTCGTGTGTGTCGGGATGAAGTGTCCCATTTTGGAGAACTTGTCAATGACGACGAGGATCGCGTCATGACCACTTGTGGTAGTTGGTAGCCCCATGATGAAGTCTAGGCTGACCACTTGCCATGGCTGTTCCGGGACAGGAAGAGGCTGTACCATACCTGCCTTTTTCTGCTTGCTGCTCTTCATCTGCTGACATGTAGTGCACGAGGTGACAAATTATTGTACGTCATCTGCCATGTGGGGCCAGTAGTACTGTTTGGCGATACCGGTGAGCGTCTTGTTGCTACCGAAGTGTCCCGCGTACAAGACGTCGTGGTATTCTTCGAGTAGTAACTGGCGCAATGGAGGGTAATTAGGTACCCAAATCTTCGTTGATCCTTTCCGGTACGCGATGTCGTTGTCCCACTGTAGCAGATGTCACTTTTCTGCCAAGGGAATTTCGGGATCGATGGTGTACCCGTGTGTGAAGAGTCCCTTGAGGAGTGGATTCATCCCTTCAACTTGGATAGCGGCAACGTGTGCAGGCCGGCTAAGCGCATCTGCTTTGTTTTGATGGCTAGGCTTGTACACGATGTCGTAGTGGAAGTGCGTCTTGAGGAAGTCGATCCACTGAACCTGTCGCCTGGAGAGGCTTGGTTGCGTCTTCAAATATTTTAGGCTGCAATGGTCGGTGTAGACTGTTGTCTTGCGTCCTTCGAGATAGCATCTCCACGTTTTGAAAGCGATGATGATAGCCAGGGCCTCCTTGTCGTGTATCGGGTAGTTGAGTTCTGCCTCGTGTAGTTTCTTGCTGAGGTAGGCTATTGGTTGCAGTCCATTCCCCTGGTCTTGCATCAAGACTGCTCCCACTGCCTGGTCGCTGGCGTCAGCTTCGATGACGTAGTCGCGTTCAGCTGGGTCTGGCAAGATGAGTACTGGTGCGGACGTGAGTGCTTGCTTCAGCTGCTCCACGGCTTCCTGGTGTTGTGGCCCCCATTTATAAGGCGTGTTCTTCTTCAGCAGATTCGTGAGTGGCGCGGTTATCTTCGCGTATTGCAGTACGAACCTGTTGTAGTAGTTAGCGAAGCCAAGGAACTGCTGTAACTCCTTCACATTCTCGGGTGTCTTCCACGTACGCACGACTTTGATTTTCTTGGGGTCGACGTGAACTCCTTGAGCGCTTACGATATGTCCGAGGAATTGGACTTTCTCAAGGGCGAAGTCGCTCTTGGATAGTTTGACGTAGAACCGTTCTCGTCGAAGAATTTCGAAGACGCGTCGTAAGTGTTTGACATGTTGTTGCATGTCGCGCGAGTAGACGAGAATGTCGTCCAGGTACACCACCACGCATTCGTCCAAGAGTGGGCGTAGGATGTGATTCATCTCTGCTTGGAACGTTGCCGATGTGTTGGTGAGTCCGAATGGCATCACTAGATACTCGTACGATCTGTATCGAGTTTGGAAGGCCGTTTTGTGAACTGAATCGTCCGCCATTCTTATCTGCCAGTATCCGGACCGCAGATCTAATTTTGAAAATACCGTGGCTCCCCGAAGCTGGTCGAGCAGATCATCGATTCGTGGAATCGGGTACTTGTTCTTGATGGTCTGCTTGTTGAGAGCTCGGTAGTCGATGCACATCCGCAGGCTTCCGTCCGGTTTCGGTGTGAAGAGTACTGGGGCACCGTATGGTGAAGTGGATGGTCGGATGAGTCCTTTGGCGAGGAGATACTCGATTTGCTTCTTCATGTCGGCTAGCTCTCTCGGGCTGAGCCGATATGGTGCTCGGAAGGTCGGCTTCAAACCTGGTTCCTCCACGATCTCATGTTGGTGCATTCGGTATGGCGGTAGCTCGTCCGGGAGGTCGTCGGGGAGAATGTCTTGGAACTCCTTCAGTATTTCCTTGATTTTTCCTGGAGGTTCCGAGGTCTTCTCTCCGTCGGTTTCCACCTCTGTTGCTATCGCCAGGAATCCGGTGTTGGTTCGCTTGACGTCCGTCTCGAATCTGGCGAGTGTCTCCACAAAGATATCTCCTGTATCATCCCAGTTGGGTAGCTGGACTCTACTTCCTTTGTTGTAGATGCTTGCGGTGCGTTTTACCCAGTTGATCTCGGGGTTGAATCGTTTTAGGAAGTCTCGCCCGAAGATCAGATCAAGCCCTTTGATGTTGGTGATGGGGAGTGCAGGTCTCCGGCGCAGTGGTCCAATTTGCAGATGTAACACTGCTTCGCCGTACACTGGTAACTTGCTGCCGTCCAGCATCGTTGCAGAAAAGGCTGATGGCTTGTACTCTTCTCGAAGTCGGTCGATGGTTGCCTCGTCGCATACGGTGTGCGATGCTCCGCTGTCCACGAGTGCTTGGAGGCGTCGTCCTTTGCAGATGACCTCGAGCACGAGCGGCAGGCGTTGCTCGGAGTACCCAAAAATAGTTTCATTGATTGGGTCGTAGGGTACATCCCAATATTCGTTGCTTCCTACTCCTGAGCTGGCAGCTGGCCAAGGCTGCTTGGAGAAAGGCTCTTCTTCAGAGCCCGGATTTTCCCTGACGACTGTTCTTGTCGTTGACGAAGTTGCCGAATTGGATGCATCCGAAGAAGGAGTTCGGGGTTTTTGCAGCTTCTTGTAGACCCCCAGCTTCCTCTTGAGCTGCTTCAGCTCCACTGACGTCTTCCCTGGGGAACGGGTAGTCGTTGTGGGCTGGTGTCGGGAGAGGACGTTGACTTCGTGGAAAGGTCGGCTTCTTTCCACACTCCTTAATTTGGTCCCCAAGTTCTCTGGTACCGGTATGATCTCCACAATTTTCTGCGTCTTTTGGAGTTCCTCCCTTAATTGTGTGATGTCATCATATGCTATCACATTCTGTCTGCCTCCCATCCCTTGTTTCAATTCGCATGTATGGTTTGACTCTGTGTGAAAGAATTTGTGTGTGGTGTGTTCTGGAGTTTGGGAATGTGTTTTGTGTTATTCTGTCTGAGCAGGTATTTGTGATGATAGATCTTGAGAAGATCTTTCCGACGCAACAAGAATCGCTTCAATCGGAGCAAGAACGCGAAAGCTATGAAGATTCAAAGTTCATGAGCTTGCGTTACAATTGCGGCGGTTACAAAGTGAAGTTGTGGGGTGACTCTATATGGAGTTGGGACCTTTGGGGTTGGGGAAATTCGTCACTCTACTGTAACAGGTGCAAATTGGTTGGGAACAGCCAAGCTAGGTTGGCAAGGGTGGCCAACTTGGATGGATTGGTTGGGAAGGGACAAAGGTCAAATTTGGGGTTCCTATAGGGAGGGAATCTTTGTGCTTATGGGGTTTCCTTGGTTGGGGAATCTCTTGGGACCTTTCCCTCTCATCCCTCTCTTCTATCCCAACCTTTCTCTTGCTCCTCTAATTCCTTGTGAGATTCTTGAACTTTGATTGAACTTTTGAGATTGAGTTAAGTTCTCCTCCTACAGCTTACCCCTCAGTGCGTCGAAAGCCATAGCGTCGCAAATAATTCATCAATCAACGTGATTCAAATTGGGAACGGTAGCTGCAATTAAGAGCTACAACATATCCGAGTTTCGTGACATTCCAACAGCTAGTTTTTTGTCGACGTTGTTTCTTGTGAAGACGACTTTTCTGTCCAGAATTTAGGATTTATATTTTGAGTAATTCTACCTCCTAAGTTCACCTAGACTCCGTCCTTAATCCTAACAGGGTAGTCATTGTGGGCTGGTGTCGGGAGAGGACGTTGACTCCATGGAAAGGTCGGCTTCTTTCCACACTCCTTAATTTGGTCCCCAAGTTCTCCGGTACCGGTATGATCTCCACAATTTTCTGCGTCTTCTGGAGTTCCTCCCTTAATTTCTCCAAGGCTCTAACCCCTCGAGAATTACAAGTTTTCATTAAAGCATCTTTAAAAGATAACTTTAACGAATCCTTATAATTTCTTGGGTCTTCAAGGAGTTTCCCCGTCTCGGCAGAGTCCTTTTTCGCGGAGTTAGATTTTTCCTCGGCGAATTCCTCTGGCAAAGACTGGTTGTAGGGTGGAGATTTTTCCCTATCATTTTCTCCTGTTCGCGTCGAATCAGCTGCGTCGAAGTTGATTTTTCCGGAAGTCCGCGGCCGCTTCCGGATCTTTTCTTTTTCGCCAACTAGATCCGCAATGACTGGCGACTCCCGTTTTTTTGCTTCTGATTGGCCGAAGGATTTCCGCCACTGTTGCGTGCTCGATATTCAGGGCGTGCGGCTTTCATTTTGTTGCAGTCGAAGATTCGATGACCCGGCACCCCGCAAAAATCACACGTGAAGTTGGTGTTTTTCGGACGTGGCCACCCTTCGAACCTGTCGAGTTCCATCGGATCGGCGAACGTGGGGTGAGCCGAGCGGTCGCCCTGTCGCGTACTGCCGACGTGCGTCCGTCGTGTCCCGGCGTTGACCATGTCGAAGCGTTCCGCGGCCGATACGACGTCACTGTAGCTCGCGTAATTTGTCGCTGCCACTTGTCGTTTGACTTCGGTCTTCAGCCCGGCGAGGTAAGACTCTACTTTTTCCCCTTCGATCAGGTCGGGAATTCGGTTATAAAATTCCTCCATCTGTTGCGTGTACTGCGCTACACTCCCGAACTGTCGATGGCGATGAATTTTTTCCCGGGCAAGGAAAGCCGAATTTATCGGCTCGAAACGTTTCAGCAGGTTGGTGCGGAACTGCTGCCACGTGGCTTCGCTGTGGATGAACGTGCTGTTACCGCCGATCCACTCGAGTGCCGGCCCTCGCATCAGTGTCGCCACGAGTCGTACGCGTTGACCGTCCCAGACTGGCGAGCTCCATCCGATGGCTGCGAAGTAGATCTCCATGCCGGCGATCCATCTGCGGACGTCGAATTTTTGATCGCTCGGATCGAACGGCTCAGGTGGGAACGGTTTCGGAGCCTCGAGAAACTGCTGCGACTACTGCGTCGTCGCCGTTGTCGAGTCGTGCTGCGCTCCGGCGAGTCGAGTTACTCGCTCAAATTCGTTTCGCCACGCTTCGCGTCCGCTCGCAGCTCCTCCTGAAGGGCTGCGATGCTCGCAAAGAGCTGCTGGGTAACCTCGGCGTTGTCGAAGGTTGCCATCCTGTTCTAAACGCGCGCGGGGGGGGGTAATTCAAAAAATCGCGGAGCTGGTGCTTACCAGAATCGGCGTCGAATTGGTCGCCCCCGGCGGTTTTTCCAGGCAGGTTTTCCCGCTGCTGCTGCTTTGTTGAGCGCGGCCGAGTGAGAAAAGCTCTGATTACCAACTATGACAGGATCGAATGTGTCGAGAAAGGGTGGACTATCGATCAGTACAAGGCGCTTTTATACTTCCAAAGTACATCAGGTAACAAGGTTTATCCTATCCCAAGGGAATAGACCCTTCTAGAAAATAGAATCACCCTGCGTATAGCCACGCGAGGCTATTGGCTTTAAGGGATTACGGCAGGATTACGCCAGATATAGCGTACCGGTACATCCCGAGCCTGTTCGGGGATATAATGATAATAACAGGATAAACCAAAGGTTGATGGAAAAGGAGAAATAGGAATCCAAATGGAATGAGATAAAAACCAAATGGATCAGGATAAAAGGAGGAATGGAATGGAAAGGAAATAGGGAAAGGAACAAGTGGTGTAACGGGGTCGTACTCTTACACTAGCGTAGGTGTGCCCAGTGTACTAGAATGTAGCGCTCTCGACGCGGCCTAGGGACGGGGGCTGGGCCCCAAACGTCCAAGTGCAGGGTCTGGAGTTGCACAGTGGTGGGGGGGAAACGAGGAGTGAGGAGCACTTCGCAGCCAGCCCTTGACGTAAGGCATGCAAGGTGGTGCGGGCAAGGGAGGGAGGGCAAGAAGCGATGCAGAGAGACATACGACAAGACCATGCTGATGACTCTAGTGTGACTGGACCTTATTACCCTATGTTGCCTTGTGTAGGGTAACCCCAGCGGGTCTCTCGACACCCCCCCCCCTCGTTGGGATAGGCGGAGCACACGAGTGTTTCTGCAGTGCTAGCACTGGGAATTGAACCCAAGTCACCAACGCCCTGATTGTTGGAATGATAGAATGATCTAGAATGTGAGAGTACAAGACAATGTAGGCTAGAGTTGTACCCTCTAAGGCACAAACCTATACAGTCTACAAAAACATACTAAGATATGTTTTGACACACCCCCTAGACCATATCGGGGCAGTGCCTAACAAACAGACAAGCAGCTCAGGGCGGCACTACTAGTCCAGCCTCTGAGACAGGGGTCTAAAGACCAGTCAAACAAGTACAAACCAAGACAAGAGCAAGACCAGGGCGGCACTACTAGTCCAGCCGCTGGAAAGGCCACAAGGCCAGTCAGAGAAAATATAAAGGTCTGTACACAATCAAGGCCCTAGCAAATGAGAGAATACGGGAAGAAGACCAAGCTGTACACTGTGCAGCTGATGATCTCTAGGCATAAGCGCCTTCGCAAAAGATATCAGCTGTGTTGGCACCGGAGGCCAAGTGTACTACGCGGGCCTGGCAGTGCTGCTGTAGATCGCGCAGGAGGAAGTACCACAGCTGGATGTGCTTCGCTCTGCCCTCAAGTCGAGGCTCCTGACACAAGAGGATCATGGCCATGTTGTCAGCGTACAGGACCGGGGCAGAGCTAGGCCGCTCACTTAAGTCGGTGAGCAAGAAGGTCAGCCAGCGGAGCTCCTGTGCCGCCATGGCACCGGCGTAGATCTCACCCTCACAACTGGAGTGGGCAACAGACTAGGAGCGAGTGGCTCTCCATGAAACAGCACCCGAACCAAGGCTAAAACAGTAGCCCTGGGAGGAGCGGAGGGTCTCAGCGTTGTCTGCCCAAGAAGCGTCTGTGTGCCCAGTAAGGACCACTGGCCTGCGTCCTCCAAGCACCAGGCCCATGCCCGATGTACTCGCAAGATAACGCAAAACCCTCTTAGCCACAGACCAGTGCTGTGGTCGGTGTCTGCCTGTGGCCACAAAGCGAGCCAGGATGCTGAGAGGGTATGCGAGATCTGGGCGAGTGCAGGTCATCAGGTACATGAGGCAACCCACCAGCTCTGCGTAAGGACCACGGGGCTCTACTGACTCCTCAGAAACAAGAGCTGAGAGCCTGTGGTCTACTGGCAGAGGTGTGGGCTGTGCGGAGGAGAACTGAAGGCCGAACCGCTGAAGGACCTGGCGCACCAAGTGTGACTATGAGAGAGCGATGGTGCGCGCTGCTCTGTCCCTAGAGATCTGCAAGCAAAGGTAGTGGCGCAGTTCTCCTAGGTCAGTGCAGGTGTGTCTCTTTAGCAGCTCTGCCTTCGCAAAGGCCAGCGCGTCCCTGTCTGTAGTAGTGAAGACCAGGTCATCTACGTAAACAAGGATGTAGAACGGGGTCTGGCCAGCACGAACGAAGAGCGAGGGGTCAGCTGAGGACGGAAAGTGTAAGAAATATAACTTTGATTGATTAAAATGGGAGAGGGCATACAAGCTTAAGTACTAACCATAGGAGAGGGTTGGAAGGGAATCCCAAGGGAATCCTCCCAAATTGTGGGGATTTGGGATGAATTGGGTTGGGATAGGTTGGAGATAAAAAAGCTACACCCAACCTTACAAACATTCCTAACCCTAAACAAACAAATGACTAACACACAAATGTGCAACATTGCAGCCTATCTCCAACACACCCCCTAGGCTGCAACGGCAGAAGTCATCGGGACGCCAAGACCCATAGCACGGAGGAGGCGGTAGTGGTCACGGCGTCCAAGAGACCTGGTGAAAAGGTCTGCCAGGTTGCAGTCAGAAGAAATGTGCTTCACCCACAACTGCCCACGCTGGACCAACTCGCGCATAAAGAAGTGCCAAAGCTCGATATGCTTGGTCCGTTGGTGGAAGACAGGGTCTTTGGTAAGGTGTATAGTGCTCTCGTTGTCACACCATAAGGTCGGGGTCCGCTGAGGATACCCGAGCTCCACCATGAGGTAGGTAAGCCATCGGGCTTCTTGGGCTGCCATGGTGCCTGCGTACAGCTCTGCTTCGCAGGACGACAAAGAGACGGACGATGAGCGTGTAGATCGCCAGCTGATGACACCACTACCAAGGGTGAAGCAATAGCCCTGGGAGGAGCGTCGGTCAGCTTGGTCGTCAGCCCATGAGGAATCACTGTACCCCTCGAGGTGAGGAGGGGACGTGCCACCGAGAGTGAGGACAAAGTCCTTGGTGGCTTGAAGGTAGCGAAGGACACGCTTAGCAGCTGACCAGTGGTGATTGGTGTAACGACCAGCAGCAACGTAACGTGAGAGCACGCTGATGGGATAGGCCAAGTCGGGCCTTGTGCACATCATCACATACATGAGTGAGCCGATGAGCTCGGGATAAGCTGCATCACAAGGCTCAGGTGATGGAACTGGCGGGGCAGTTAGATCGTGCTGTTGGGGAAGCGGCGTAGCCACTGACTTGGCTTTGTCCATGTCGAAGCGCTTGAGGACGTTGTTCACGTAGAACTCTTGCGAGAGAGTAATGGGTTGGGCTTCACGATCCCGCGTGATTTCCATCCCAAGGTATTTCTTGAGTTCGCTGAGATCCTTCATCACGAGCGCGTCCCCTAGGGCTTGCTTGACTGCTGCCAGCTGATCGGAGTCCTTGGAGACGAGGATCATGTCATCAACATAGACGAGAATGAAGAACGGCTTCTCGTTCTTGCGAATGAAAAGGCTCGGATCGGCGGCAGAAGGATGAAAGTCGAGTGACTCGAGGGTGGCCTTCAGCTTCTTATGCCATTCGCGAGGAGCTTGCTTCAGCCCGATTCAACTTCCAGACTGTTCTGGGTGGAAAGGGTAAGGGGAACCCTTGAGGCCGTTCCATGAAATATCCTCAGGAAGGTCTCCTTGCAGGAATGCCGCTGAGACATCCATAGAGTGGACCTCGAAGTTGCCTCGAGCAGCGACGTCAAGGAGAGTGCGAAGGGTAGGCAGTTTAGCCGTTTGGGAGAAGGTGTCAAAGAAATCCTGCCCCTTTTTCTGTGTGTAGCCTTTGGCACAGTAACATGCCTTAAAGACCAGAAGTTCGCCAGGTAGCTGTTTGACACGAAACACCCATTTACCTCGGACGATGTTCACTCCTGGGGGAGGAGAGACGTCGGTGAAGGAGTTGTTGCGAATGAATGCTTCACACTCGGCGATCATGGCTGCGAGCCACTGCGGGGAGTGCGGCCCAGAGATGGCTTCATCGTATGTGTTCGGGGTCGGGATGGATGGATTCTCTGAGAAGTTGGGGGTTGGAGCGTCTGCAAGATCGGGGAAGAGATAGCAGAGCTGGCGAATGGCAGCATTGATATCAATCAGCTCCTCATGCCTATCCTCCAGTAGGCCAGGCATGAGTGCACCCCTGGCAGGAGGAGGCGGATTGAGGGAGATGCGGACGGAGAGAGCAAGAGGCTGGATGGGACCATGAGAACGGGTACGATGAGCGACGGGGGAGGAAGGAGGCGGCGGAGGAGTAGGTGGGACGGAAACATAAGAACGACCTTGGCGACGACGCTGATAGGTGACGGGTGGGGCGGCGGGAGGGGGATCGGCAGGTGCGGATGCCGAAGAAGGGGGGGAGGAGGGCACAAGCAATGGTGATAACGCGGGAGGAGGGGAAGAGGGAGCACCCAAGGTGGCGGGGGAAGGAGGGTGGGAAACAGCGGAAGGAGACGGAGCGGGTGAGGAGGAGAGGGTAGATGAATCAGGAGTGGTGGCAGCGGGAATGGAGAGCGAGGTGTCGAAATCAGCCCAGACGAGCGAGGGTGGAGCGGGGGCGGGAGACGAGTGAAGATAAAATGGGCGAGTCTCGTCAAAAGCTCGGCTACGAATGAGTTGATTAATGGATGGATTGAGAAAAATGTAGGCTGGAGAATCGAGGTTGTGACCAAGGTAGACGCATGTCTGAGTCTTGGGAGCGAACTTGCCACCATGGGCGTGGCGATCATGATTGAGGAGGACATAAGCGGTGCACCCCCAGACGCGGAGCGGGCGTGCACTTGGCTTGGAGCCTGTCCAAAGCTCGGCAGGCGTGACCTCGGGGCGAAGGGGATGAGGGTGAAGAATGTAGAGGGGAGTGGCGTGAAGGAGAGCGTATCCTCAAAGGGAGGGTGGAGCGGAGCGTGCATGAGAAGACAGCGGGCAATTTGCACAAGAGTGCGATTGCGGCTTTCCGCGATGCCATTCTGCTCCAGGCTATGCGGAAGAGTGAAGGTTTGGCGAATTCCTTGCGAAGCGCAAAATGTGTGAAGGGTATGATTGCGGAACTCGCCACCGCCGTCGGAATGGAGACATTTGACGGAGGTGCGAAAGTGGGTTTGAGCTTGCCGAACCCAAGCGATGACGGTATCAGGAACCGCCGCTTTGGAGGAAAGGAGGTGGACGGATGCGTAGCGAGAGTGATCGTCCACGAGTACCAAGAAGTATGAATGCCTGCCACGGGATTGAATAGGCGCCGCCTCCCAGAGATCCATATGGATGA